AAGGGAAGGGAAGGGAAGGGAAGGGAAGGGAAGGGAAGGGAAGGGAAGGGAAGGGAAGGGAGAATCAATTAATCTGCACAATATGCAGATTGATAATCAAAAGGCTAACCAGAAGCATATTCCTGTATAAAACCCAGTCAAGTTTCAGTGGAAGTCTGTGCCTCTCAGCTCTTTGCTGTCCATCCTTTTTCCTGTGAGACTTCTGCAAGGCAGTTCTGCCCCATTCAGTCTCATCTGGAAGCTGACTGAGAGTTTTTATCTGCTGTTAGGTCACAAAGACATGCTTACCTTGATGCTGAACATTTTCCCTACTAAACTGGCAGAGGTGATGTCTTGAGTTTCTTTGAAAACTTCATCACAGATATCCTGGGAATCTTAGACATTCGTGCTAAGGCTATTATAGACTCAGTATATATTGCAGTTATGTTTTTATTCTGGCTTTTGGGATAGGACTGGTTGCTATTGGTTGCTGAGTTAAGTGTCTTTTGACATGAATGGGTCACTTCTGGTGAGAATTGAGCTGGATCTCCCTTGCAAGGATATGAATAAATTGAGATGGTCTGCCCTCCAAGACTTATAGGATCTAAGAGATTCCTGAACATTCTGGGAGAATTTTGCGGAGCAATAGCTGGCAATTCTGCCGCAGTTCTAATCTCACTGGTTAATAGTGAGCTGAAAAGGCTCTCTGACCCTACTACTCCTGAGCACTCTTTCTACTTATGGAGAGCCCAAATGCCTCTTAATTTAACTGAAGAACTCCAGGCACTAAAGCAAACTGGTTAATGGCTTGTTTGAGCTGAATTGATTGATTGATTGATTGATTGTCACCGATCAGAACTGAGTAGAATAGAAATAGTCGTAATAAATGCAGTAAATAAATAAATAATAAACAAACCAGTCAATAAGCGTACAACTGCATCTTCTGCATGGAAAGGATGGCACAGAAGAGGACTGACTTTGCTACCACTGCTGCATCTTCCAGGAACTGCCCAGCAGAGCTTCTTGGGTGGTGACTGAACAGGTGTATGGCTTGGGGCTTCTCCTTCATACCAGCCTGTCACTAGAGGGGCAGTTGGCCTCACTGATGTGCCAGTTGTTGACCCTACCTTGGTTGAGAAAGCTTAACATCAGTGAGATGCGTCATAATAACCTCTTGTTCGGATGACTGCAAAGCTCTACATATAAGAGTTACCCCTAAAGATAGTCCATGACTGTAACTGGTGAAGAATGCAGCTGCCCAGTTTTAAATTAGCTGGCTATATGGGACCACATAATACCAGTTCTTCTGCATCCGAACAAACAGCAAGTTATTAATAAGGGCCAGCCACAATCAACATTAACAAGTAAAACAAACAGTTAATAAACAAAAGCAATAAAATCAATATACACCATGATACATTTACAGTGGCAGTAAAAAATAACACTTCTGTCTATATCCCAGCCATCTAACTTGGCTAGGAAGATTTACAATAAATCATCTATCATTTGTCTATACTAACTGCCATTCTCAGTATCTACTCACAACCACTTCTACCAATCAATCTGCTTTATTAAATGAATAAGTTTTCAAACTTTTCTTAAATGTATCCAAAGATGTGTGGAGCCAGAGTAGAGAGAAAAGAGAATTCCATGATTGATTGCCTGTTCCTTGCCAAGCTCAAGCTAACATATTGACATTAGTCTGTGTAATCTTCATGGCTTAGAACCCAGGTACTTAAAATATTGTCCAAGAATCAATCAGCTAGAGAAACTGTTCATGGTTTTATGGTGGGCTTGGCTCACAGTGTGGTGGTCAGAAGTTCAACCATTTCAGTGGCAAAACCCCAATGTTGGAACTGTTTCTTGGGAGACGTTCAGTTGACTATACACTGTCTTCTTTCAGAAAATGCCTGAAGACATGCCTGTTCTCTCAAGCATTTGTAGAGAAACAACTTCTTCGACACCAGATTGATTTGCCTGTAATTTCCTTTCCTTTTTAGCAGAGCAAAGTTTCTTTTAATTTTTGTATTTATCGCTGGCTTTATTGTGCTGACTGTATTTGAGATTTCTTTTACTGTTTTCTTTTAGACCATATATATTCTCTGGAAGGAAGGGAATTAAATAAATGAGATAAACCTTTCCCGTAAAGTGGTGAGAATGTGAGGTGGGATATAAGGAATACTGTAATACTGATTTAGGCAATTGTTTCATCTCTGTTTTTCAACATAGCTGGCTCTGCATTTCTGAACCCTGAAGGGGATTCTGGAACAGAAGCAGATAATGATCCCCAGCTGACCTTTTACACGGATCCATCACGGAGCAGGCGGCGCAGTAGGGGTAAGAGGCCCCAGGAGAAGGAAGTAGCAAATACAGTAGGAAGAATGTGAAGTGGCTGAAGGGATTATGGTGCTAGAGGTCCTTCAAGACTAAGCATTCTCAGCATGTTCTAATCATGTCTGCCTTTTGTGCATGCTTAAATATTACCAGTAACCCCATTCCTGCTGTATTTTCTTATTATGGGGCACATTCTTAGTGGCTATCTTCCTTTCCACTGATGCTAATATGTAGTCAATAGGAGGTTTTTTCCTCTTTGTATTTGTTCACTGCCAATGCTATGGAGCAGAAGTAGGCAATTCTGCCATCCCTTTCTTCAGTGGATGAGTTGATGCAGAAAAGGTTTCCTCAAACAGGGAAAACCACCACTCAAGGCTAAAATGGGAATAAGTTTAAAAAAAATCAAAAAAGCCTAAATAATTTGGAAAGCCTAAATAATTTGAAGCCTTTCTTTTAAAAAGAACTCCCAACAGAACTGACACAATCCATCATATTTTCCAGACCGATAAACACATTTCTGTGATAGATTTCTCTCTGCATGAGCTGCCTGGATGAGATCTCTGAAAACCCAGCCCTGTTTGCATGTTACGCATCCCTAAGGCACTTAACTGCAGTGTCAAGGAGTTGGTTGTCATGGAGAAACTAACTCACTGAAAGAATGGAGTGGGAAGGAGGGATTAAATATTTTAAAAAGTATACATATTTTTCTTTGAACCAGGATCTCTTCTGGCCAGGCGCTAAGAATTGCTTCTTATAGTATAACTACACTTGAAGGCATTAGTGACTCGCAGACTGTCCCCCCATTAAATAATTCAGTAGGACCTAAAAAGTGTGCAAAGCATCTGGTGTCTCTCAACCAGACCCATTTTCCTTGCTCTCTACTATGATAGTTGGGCAGAAATGGAAACTGCTAGCCTACTCTGCTGTGTTTGGATGCCACAAAAGCAACTGGCCAAATAGTGGTATAGACAACATCTTGTTCTAAGACCCAAGGAAACTTATCAAAGACTAGATAGAACTGTAGAATTGATTAGTTTGAACGAAGGTTAGCTGGATTCCCTCTGGGGCAAGTTGTAAGACACAGCTCTATGTTATTTCAAGAATTGTGTGTCTGTAAGGGTGGCAAGTTCAGGAAATGAAAACCAATTGGATTTCTGAAACATAGAGTAATGTAACAAAATCTTGAAAGCCTACCAAAATAGTGGTTCTGCACAATTAATGTAATTAAGGCAAATTTACTCTGAGCTCTTTCTTATGCTTTCCCACTCCCCTGGATTCAAGAATCTCTTCTGCAATAGTTCTATTTCCTTCCTTAACTATCTTGCTGCCTTTTCTGTATTCCCAAGGTCTGTTAAGACCTTCCATCACATTGTTTTAGCTATCTAGATCAGTGTTTGTCAACCTTGGCAACTTTCAGATATGTGGACTTCAACTCCCAGAATTCCCCAGCCAGCTTTGTCACCTTTTGGCAAATAAGCTACAAATCAAATCCAAGTTATCAGTAGTACCTGGCTGGTCAGCTGTTCAGTGCAAAAGCAGCCAACTATTTGGGGGGGGGGGATTGGTTTTGCCTTTAATTTACCATTGTGTTGCCCTTTTAATCTTTTAGCGGTGATTGAGCAAAGGTAGAGACAGCAAGACATGTTCTTTTCTTTTACTAACTATGTAGAAATATAGACTTCAATTTAATTGTAGTACTTCTATTCTAGTGAATAGACCAGGTAGGTCCAATGAGTTATATGCACCTTCTCTTCTGCCAGACTACATTCTAGCAATTTCTGAAAAAGTGGCTGAGATTTTGTGCCATCACTTTTATGACTCATCAATGAGTACTCAAAACAATCCAATCAGTTTGCTGGTTATTTTGTGTTCAGCATCTATTGAATATTGTTCTGAATTTAAGATGGTATCATCTCTATTTTTTCTACTTCATATTTTGTTTTATCTCTTCTGCTGGCCTGAGGCTGTAATAAAATTACTCAGTCAAGATCCAAAATGCAGAGGCAGTGCAGAATAAGAGACACAGGCAAGCATTGTTATCACTCAATAATGTTCCGTTATGGTCTGCCTGGTGCTTGTGGAGCCATGCTACCTTGACCCATGAGTGATAGAAACCATTTTTACAGCTTTCCTAGATCATATACAAGTACTCCTCATTTACCAACTGCCTTGCATGGCAACCATTTGCAGTTACGACAGTGATGAAAAAGTAACTTTGTGATCAGTCCCCTCATTTATGATCTTCGCAGGTCTGCAAAGCAAAGGAAAACTGAACTATCATTAATGAATGAATGAATGAATGAATGAAACAGTTGCAGTTTCACTTAGCAACCTCTTCACTTAATGACCAAGTTGCCAGTCCCAATTGTGGTTGCTAAACGAGGACTACCTGTATTTTTTACATTTTGTGAGAAAGGGTAGGGATTTATAAGAAGTTTTTTTTTTTTTGTTATGTATACAGCTTCGCTATTATTTAACACTGATACAGCACCTCCAATATTCAAGGTAGTTCATGTAGATGTTGTAATTATCTGGAATGATCAGCATTTATTATCCTCATATACTGCAGATAAGAAGTAGAGGTATCACATTGTGGCTTTTCTGAGACAACTTAGCATAAATATATTTTAGCTAATATATTTTAAGCAGAAGAAAATTTGACCTAGTCATGTAATAAAATATATTAGCCACTAGGCTATGCCTGTGATTGAGATGACATTGTAAAAAAGCAATGTGGTTATTTTTGAACATATAATTACAGTAGCATTATCCGTACAGATTATGCCCTCTCTATTTTAACAAGGGATTTGAAACTGTTGAGGTATCAATAAATTATATGGCCATAAGCATTCTGGTCTAATCCTATCCTCTCCAAAGGCAGTCCTTTTTTGTTGTTTTTTTATGGTTCATTCAGTCTATTCATGGTCAGCCACAAAGCTCCTTGCTGAAAGACAAAATAATTTTGCATTATCCCAGCCCAGTGCTCATAATATAGATTATGCATATGAGTTCCTAAATGCTTTCAGAGAAGAAAACAACCCACGTCCATAGCAAAGCATTGCTGTCATTGTTTCAGCATGCAGGTTCTGGAGCCTAACTTTCCACTGAAGTTGCTGAGATATATTTGTGAACAAGGCAAGCAGTATTTGGATCCTTTTGACTCAGAAAGTGCCCAGTTCTAGTTAACTGGAAGCCAGCCACCTGTCCATCTGGATTTCAACTGCATTCTCATTTTTGGAGAAGGGATTGTATGCAGCTCACAGCTTGTTTCATTGGGAAGTGTTGTCTAGGCAGAAATCTGGTTTTTGTGCTTAAGATTCCTGGTAAATGGTTATCTTAAGAGCTGTAAGGTAAAGACCTGGAAAACACCAATGCAGTTTCGATATTTTTCTAATGATACTAATAAATTGCCATTGTTGGCTTTGTCAGTAGTTTGGCTGTCCTGAAAATCAGCAATATATGGTAACATTGTATGATTACATAAATGTAACAATTATCCACAACATCTGGACTAATCATGCATTAAATTTGATTGGATGAGTGCTTATACACACATGCACAGATATAAAACAAGGAGTGTATAAGTTTACACATGGAAATTCCAATTTCAAACTTCTACTAGGCTACATGGGAGAGAAGAGACAGGATATTCATTATTATTAAGAGAATCCTCATATTATGTATTCAACTGCTTTAGAATAAGTGTTTAGAATAGGTTCTTGTAAAAGAAACAGAGTAGTGGGAGGAAACAGGTTGGGGATAAGAAGATGCTATCACAGGACTGAGTAAAAGAAGAACAAAGTCAGAAAGAAACTTTTTGCTAAATATGTTCCTGGTATTTCAAATACCAGAGAGTATTTTTTTAACTGAACGGTAATAAAGTGAACATTAGAAGAGTAGGGTTTTTAAAGATTAGATATACTGAAAGGAAATGTACACTTAGCAAAATGTACACTTACACAAAAGCATAATAGACTAGAACTGGGTGAACAAAGTTTTAAGGAAAAGACAGAGGAATTAAAGCACAGATTTATAGTGGCACAAAATCAGGCACAGATGGTAATTCTTATGAGTTGTAATGGAAGCTAGTATGAAAATAATAAAGACATGACAAATAATTACCGTGATATAATTCATATATGAAGAAGAAATAAGAATATGGGCTTGAGGAACAATCCAGCAGAGCTATCAAGAAGCGAGAGCAAGCCAAGTGAGCATTTCAGGGTAGGGTGGCAGCCATCTCCCCCTCCCCGCAATGCTGAAGGGATCTCTACACTCTTCAGCTGCAGTAGCACCCCACTCGTGCATGGGATGAAAAATAATGGAAGCAAAAATGGTAAGCCCTGTTTGCGCTGTAAAGAAAACATTCCAGATGCTGATTGCAGAAGAGACATCTGGTCAAGGCAAGGGCAACATACCAAGAGGGGAACAATGACAGAAGAAGAATAAAAAGGATAAACATGAGAAAATGTCATCACTGTCTTTTGGTTTTGGGTGTTAAGACTAATGCAGAGTTTAAGTCTCAGCTTTATTTGCTTTGGCTGCTGAGTGTAAGGAATACAACTGTACCCCAGTTCCATCCATCAGTACAAAAGCAGTCCAGGTGGCAGAAGCAGACAGTGATTTTTGTTTTATTTGAAAGGAAAAAAACTCTGCTCAATCCGTGTGTTTTGAAACTCAACCATTTCTATTGATTTTTTTTTTTTTCAAGGAACTCATTTTACTTTCAGCATTTACTACAGAAATGTCCTTTAGGTAGTTGGCTAAAACATACCCAAGCAATCCACACAATTCACATTTCCTATGACCTGAGGCTGGATAAACAAGCCGCTAAGCATAAGAGCTTGTCTGTGGCTTCAGATTTTATGCGCTACCCTTCCAGCATATCTGAGCACTGCTTCTGCCCTGCTGGGATGTCACACCGCCTGTCAGAGAGAGTTGATGGCAAAATGCCTTGACACCGAGGGGAGGTGTAAAGAGGCTGCCACTCAGGAAGGCATGACTGAGACAAGAATGGATTCTGTTTGGAGAAAGGAGGCGGGCGGAAGCAGTCTATGGAGTATCATTAATTACTCTGGGGAACCTGATGTCTACACACTTGTGGGCTGGTAATGAGGGATACTGCTGTTCACAGCCACCAATTAGGGTACAGGCTGTTAACTGACACCACTTCAGGAAATTGCCCATTTCTAAATCTACACAGATGAACGAAACAATAAAGCAAGACTATTTCTCAGATGCCTTGTTCCCCAAAAAGAGTGACTATGTTTCACCTCAGTGTCTGCACCTCTTTCTGCTGACTGGTCAGAAGCCCAGGTTCATAAAAAGTCCCACCAGGAGCCATTGCACTAGCTCAGTGTTGTGGTCCTTGAGATAGGCAGTTTTGGATTCCATTCCATTGTGACTTCTTGTTTTATTCTTTCTCTCTGCCGTTTTAGTGGGTTCACCTAGGAGTCCTGTGAGCAAGACAACCCTGACACTCATCAGCATCACCAGCTGTATCGTCGGTCTGGTCTGTGCTTCTCACGTGAATTGCCCACTAGTGGTCAAGATAACACTTCATGTTCCAGAGCATCTTATTGCTGATGGTGAGCCAATCTTCCAATTATCTTGCCACTTCTGTTGTCAGATCAGGGTCAGGTATAACATGCGTGCTGATGATTGTTACTAGAGCATACTGTGAAATGTTGAAATACATTTACCCATTGGCCAGGTAAGAAAAGAACAACTGATTTTGACTGATCCTTCACACTGGCTTTTTCCCTACAGCATGTAACATGTCTTCATTAGTCTTCTCTGACCTGGCATCCTCCAGATTTGCTGGGATTGCAATTCCCAGGATTTCCAGCTTTTGACTCAAGCTGGAAATTCTACGTGCTGCAATCCCAACACATCTGGAGAACACCAAGTTGAGGAAAGCTGATGTCCTCCAAGCCTGTTGGCTGTTTACCTACTCCATTCCTGTTATTGTGGATACGTACATGAATGTAGTCATGAATATATACATAGAGAACAGATTAGAATTTCTAATGGTCAACTTGTATTTGTTTATTTGTTTATTGCATTTCACTGCCTCCTGATACCTTCTGTTCTAATTAATGCAACTCCCAGAGTGTCGCACAAAGATCACTAGCAAGGCAGCATCTGCTCTCAGACATACAATTTAAAAAGCACAGCATTCCAAGAAAAGGGATGGGGGAGGTGGAAGAACACAGGAAGATTTCTGCATAAGATCTGCACTGAAATGTTCATAGTCAAAGCCTGGCTACATTTTTTAGAGTAGAAATAGTGCCCTCCCTGCCCAATTCATGTTGCCTCCAGAAAACTATATAAAATGTGCCTCTGGGTAGACTTCACTTGCAATCAAGGTCATAGCTACCTGAGCATGGTTCATATTGATGATTGACTTTGCGCAGAGCAGGATCCTGGCATTGATTTGGTGCCAACCCAGTCTGGCTCTTTAATTTTCCAGATCAGGTTCATCTGGGAGATTAATGTACTCTTAACAGTTTGTGGATCCAGGAACATAAGTAATCCTATGGAATTGTTTTCTACTTTACCATATTTATGTACATATTAGTTGCCCCCTTTCAGATTTGATATGAGTATTTCTCAGCCCCAGTAAGCTCTGAGAGACTGAGTAAAGCAAATTTTCATTATATATATTGTGGTGTTATGTTACTTGTATTATGATTTTAAATGTTGTAAGCCACCCAGAGTCACCACAATGAGATGAGTGGACATATAAATCAAATGCATGCATGCATGCATGCATACATACGTACATACATACATACATACATACCAGAAACCATTGCTTGATTCAGTGATTCTGGACAATTTTCATCAAGAGAAGGTAGTAGGCTTATAGCTCCAAAGGGCCCTGGAGGAAACAGATTATCTGGACCCTCTTTAGCCTGGATTCAGGCCAGTGTATAATACTGAGAGTTAGCCATATTTGTAGATGACCTCTGGCAGCCAGAGACAGGGGAGATGTCCAAATCCTCTATGATTTCTTGGTGGCTTTCAGTATCATCAACCATGGTATCCTTCTGGACTGTCTTAGGGGGGTTGTGAGTGGAGAGCACAGTGCTTTGGTGCTCAACAAGTTGGGGGAAGCTGTGACCATGAACCAGGAGTCCCTGTCCATGCTCTCTCATGCATCGGCCATTTCCTGTTTGGACTACTGCCGTTGAAGAACATTTGGAAACTGCAGCTGATTCAGAATGCAGCCACAGGGGTAGTTCTGGGTGCTCCTCAGTAAGCCTACATAACCCCACTGCTTCATGAATTGTGCTGGTTCCCAGTCAATTTCCAGGTGCAGTTCAGTTCTCCCCACTGAGTTTCCAACTGCTGCAATCCTGTTGGCCTTTCACAAGGCTCTAGAAACTTGGCACTTGGCTCAGACCTTAGGGCTAGGATGTTAACGGGACCCAGTCTGTGTTGGTCTGCTTGAATATGGAGCTTTTACCTGGCATCTTTACTGTTTTTATTGTTTCCCTATTATTTTTATGTACCTTATATTTACCATCCAGGGTTGATTAAATGATGGGTGACCATGTAAATTTGCCTAATAAATAAATTTTACAAAGTAATTCTGACATCCCACTCTAATGTGCCAACATTAGTTTTACGTCAAGAGGATGTGTTGGTATTGATATATTTATTTATTTATTTTATCAAATTTATATGGATGCCTATCTCACACAAGGTGACTCTGGATGGCGTACAACAAAGCCAACCATTAAAAACGAATATAAAAATCAATTAAAACAATTAAATAATCAACATAAGTAATACCAAGATTGTGAGAGGGTTAATTAAGGTGTAGTACATGGTGCAACCAATGCATGGGCTCTCTTCTATCAAGGGATCCCCAGGCCCAATGGAAAAAAAAAACGTGTTTTGAGGGTTTTCCAAAAGGCCATAAGGGTTGGAGCTAATCTTACCTTAGCGGGGATGATGTTCCAAAGGGCAGGCACCACAGCAGAAAAGGCTCGTCTCCTGGGTCCCATCAGATGGAATGCCTTAGCAGACAGGACCCACAACAAGCCTCTCCTGCCGGATCTGATGGGATGGTTAGAAGTAACTGGGGAGAGGCAGTCCCTCAGATAACCTGGCCCCATGCCATGTAGGTCTTTAAAGGTCAAAAACAGCACCTTGAATTGCACCCAGAAGCAGATTGGCAACCAGTGCACTTCATGGAGCAGAGGTGTAACATGTGTCTTCCTAGGAACACGCATAACTGTTCATGCTTCTGCATTTTGCACCAGCTGAAGCTTCTGGATACTCTTTGTGGGCAGCCCATGTACAGCGTGCTACAGTGGTTCATATAATGTTCTAAATAATTTGGCACCAGATTACTTCAACCGCCAACTTTGTAGACTGTCATCATCTTCGCAGAACGCTGGCTGTTAGGAAGATGGAGATGGGTTTCTGTGCTGTGGCACCTCTCTTTTTCAATGATTTCAGTTCTGTAATATACCAGACCCTGGTGATAATGTGTTTCAGATGTCATGTTGTTATATTTGCTTTCTCCAGCTATTTAACCTTCTTTCCCCCCTGTTTTTAATATATGGTTTTTATTCTGAATTTATCCTACTTTTTGGGGGTCTTTTTGTATATGTTTAAGACTATTGTAAAGTGCTTCAATATTTTTAAAATAAGTGGAAAATAAATATGTTTAACAAGAATGTTCTGTGAAGCACTATATAAGAGGCTTATGTGAGAGCTGTGCACTGGAGAAGGTGTCTTTACTGCTTTATTACTGAATTTACCTGAAAGGACGACTGTTTTCTTTTCCACAAGAAAGTTACCTTTAAAACTGGAGGGTTGTCTTAGATTCATTGAAAATATGGTAACAGAGGGAGACTTTTCATGGGAAGGGGACAGTCTTAAATTCAGTTAGAACTAGATATAAAATACCAGTAGCTTTTTTAGTATAAACAAGGCAAAAACATTAACAGATTTTATTTAAAAGCGTAGGCTAACTTTGAGCCAACATGTTTACAGAGAAGAAAATGTGGCTTATGGGTCTCACAGCCCCATTTTCTTTTTTAAATGCTTCCCAGAACGTTGGAAACAAATGCTGTCCCTCTAAAAATGCAAAGCTGTGTCCCACCCGAGACTGTGCCAGGCTTAGGCCCCCTCACCTTCTGTTGGCAGATGAAGTGAAAGAAAAGCAGAATCTGACAGTACATGCCACATTTGTCACCTTATAAATGAACAGCCAATAAGAGATTTTAGCTTAGGAAACCAGTACTAATGCAACAGTGGCCATAGGGAGGTTGATCATACCAGATTGGGTGGATATGTGTTGCACAACTTAATGCTCCTCCAATACAGAAGAAGGAAGATTAGTTCTTGCAGAAAACCAAATGTCAGACAGGGTGAAGCAGAACTTTTCTTCCTAATGGGAAACTCTTCTGTGCCCCAGTAATTACTTAATATATTAAGGTATGCAATTTCCTATGAGATCTAAAGTAGAACAGTCTAGGCAGAAGTTCTGACATCTAGATGTTTGTGAAGTTTGTGAAAGAGCACAGAAGTAGAGGCTGGAGGACAGATCAGACTGATGGAGCAACTGACCCTGCTTGGAGAGATGAAATGAGTTATCTTAGCTTGAAATGTAATAGGAGATTTTGCCCTTGGAACAAATCGGTTTCATGGATCTCTGTTGAATATTCAGATGGCTTTCATGGTATCAAATTTACTTCCAAACTCTTTGTTATTCACAACCATTTTGTTAGCCTAAATATGCTTGTCCTAAAAATCGTAGGAGATAATAAACAGACACATATACAGCCATGCACACCCACCAGAAGAATGAATTGACATGCTATGTCTAAAGCACCTGCAATGATCAATGGCAAGTTCTTCAGAACATGATAACTGGGGATGTTTGAAGTAGGTACTGGAAGAGGTATTCCCAGGTCATTTCCAGAAGGGAAAAAAATGTCAGCCTAGTGCTTTGTTCACTGAGAAGAACCAATGCTTGTTAAGTTACATGAGAAAAGTAACCCTTAGGATATTTTCACACACACATTATAAAGTGGGTTTTAAGTTACATTAGACAAAATATTCATTCATATTACAAATCAGTTTTCTTTTGCATTTGGCATAAATAGGAGGGAAGGCATGAAAATGCCTTCAGTGCCCATCTTTCAGAATGATGTATTTCCCTCCCATTTTCCTTTGCAGGGAGCCGGTTTATTTTGTTAGAGGGGAGCCAACTGGATGCCAGTGACTGGTTAAACCCTGCCCAGGTGGTCCTTTTCTCCCAGCAAAATTCTAGTGGGCCATGGGCCTTGGATATGTGCGCCCGACGGCTTCTTGACCCCTGTGAACACGAATGTGATCCTGAAACTGGTAGGTGGGTGCAACGTGATGATTGACATGTATCTGGTGGATTCTCAAATCCCAAAAACTATCAAAAACTGTGGTGGAGAAATAACTTTCAAATTCCCTTTGTGTATGATGAAAGTCAAAGTCCCCTTGTCTTGAATCCAATTTTTCTTCCATCCAGCAGAGTATTCTTGATTGATTATATTATGCTCTCTGATTTAGGCTGAAGATCTTTCCTATGAACAAGAAACATCTGAATTCAAATTGTATATATGCTCTGTTAGGAGGAGAACCTGTAGATATAAGAGTTTTTCCTCTCCCTTTTTAAATGTGAACAGCGCTAGATTCTACCTTTCTTCAACAGGCACAACCATGACTTTCCAGGGGCCACCCCCTAAATCGAAAGAGGTGTATCTCAGAAGATTGGTCCAGCCTTCTCTCTTCTGCACATGCTCTCAAGAGGCATGTTTGTTCCCCTTCTAAACGATGTGACTCATTTGCCCATCGTGTC